GTAAAACAGTTGTGAAGTTAAGTCGAAAAATCAATTTAACATAATTAGTAAAATGGAAATTAATTTTGAGCATAAAATAATGAAACGAAAGGTCTACGGAAACATATTCATAATTTGTACTCTAGTTTTTAAAATGAGAAATTTAATTTAATAGGTAATGTGTTACAACTTACAACTATTCATGAATATGTGTCCGTAAATAATAGTTGTATATTGAGATTTGATTAAATTTAAATTCATTCTTTCGTAATTTTCTTCTCAATATCTCCTCTTTTATTTTTTTTCAGTTGTAAAAATCTCCTTTAATAATAGGGTTTTCCTCTTATTAGTAATATCATCGACTAATATGGGATAGAATGAGTATTATTTGACATATGTTGATTTAGCATGACCATTTAAAAGAATTTATTAGGAGTATATTTACTAAACTAATTCTATTACTAATGATATTTTGAAACTCTAAATTTGATTAATAATTTAATATTAATAGTAGAAATTAAAAAGAAAAAAATATAAAAAAACCTTTCTTAATTTTTTAGTTAGACAAGTGAAATGAAATATATATACTTATTTTTTATATAGAGGTCAATTAATATGAAATGAGGGTGTTATAAATTTAGTGCTTAAATTGTAGATTAACGTATAAATCCGAATTATAAAATAAAATAATATATATATATATATATACACACACCCCTCCAAATAACTCTTTTTTTGTTCTCAAATAGAAATGGTCATGTGCTACAAAAAAATTCTAATAAATCAAAGACAAGAAATTAAGTAAATTTGAAGCTTCTAAATATATAATGCAGCTAGACCTTGCTCTTTTTTAGATTATTTAAAATATCCTGACTTGGGGCGGTGCTAAGCGTTTCTTAAATTTTGTGTGTATATAATATATTCAAAATTCAATTATTTACTAATATTTGATGTCATTATTAAAGATTTGTTTTATTATTAAGTATTAATAGTGCTGTTATTGACATTTTTTGAAACTCTCAGTCCATAGTATATTTCACACGGTATTTTATGATAGATTTAAATGGGTGTGTCATTTTCCAAAATCTCTTTCTACGACAAATTTCAAATCTCTGAAAATCCCAAGGGTTTGTTCTGTTTTTGTTTTTGTGCTGACTCCGTTGGTTTGCCGGTCCCTTTTTCCCAATGGGTTGGATACCACTTTCTCATAGTAGCGTCGGATTCAAAATTTTCACTAATAATAATAATTAAAATATAAATTATTACTGATTGAACCAGTGAAAAAAAATACAGCAATGTTTTCGTACGAAAAAATTAGGTAGCTTTATTGAAAATTTGTTTCCAACGTGGGTTTTCCTACTGATCTGGTTTGGAAGGAAATGAATGGAAAAACCATGTTGTATAGTACTATCTCCGTCCACTTTTAATTGTCATAGTTTTTTTTTAGAGTCAAACTATGAAAACTTTGACTAATATTTGACAATATATTTTTTCATTGTATTGATATAAATGCAAAAAAAATGTAATTTATACTACTTTTCGTATAGTTTTTGAATATATTTTTTTTAAATATCAAATTAATATAATCTAATTTAACTTTGAAAATTAGGCAAATTGACTTTCGAAAAACTCAACATGGCAAGTAATAATGGACGGAGGGAGTATAAACATATCATTGATTTTTAAAAAATATATTTTCTTTCAATGAACTTCTTATTGATTTGCGATTGAAAAAACTCTATTTCTTGTAGTAATATATATTTTTTTAAAATTAACCTATCTCAACAATATACTTTAGAACCAATTAATCTAGATTTATGTTATATATATATATATATATATATAACATATATTAAAGATAAAAATGTCAAAAGAAATTCTTTTATTTACATAGTTCAAAATCAAGACTTTCGATCGAAAGGTAAAAATATTTATCAATTTTTAGACTTTCATTCATATCGCTCGAATTTGAGACTTTCAATCGAAAGGGGAAGGTATTCATCCATCCCGCTATAACCTTGCCAAACAATTAATTTTGCCGTCTATTGAAATGTCTTTTTTTATTCATTTTATAAAGTGTTTCTTTTATCAAAATAGTCAACACTAGCCAGAAAGGATATATTATATTGCTTTACAACTAGACAAAAGAACTATCCACGATTAAGAAAATCTGAATTTTGTACGATTATAAGAAAAAGTAAAAAAATATTAAAGTCAAGCCAATGATCAATGGAACAACAGAGACATTCCTCCCAAGAACAAGACAGAAGAAAATGCCAACACATTTTAAAATTTTAATATTTTTACAATTCTATATTTCAAAATTTAGTATTAAAAGCTCCATAGAATTGCTTCACCTAATTTAATAATTTAATGTACCGCAATATTAATAATTACCACTTAAATAGGACAAAGAAAAAATGGCATTACCACTTTAACTTTGACTATGAAAAAGGAGAAGGTACATTAATAAAGAAAAACATTTTAGATATGAGTTATTTTTCTATTTAATAGCATCCAATGTTTTAATAGGTCATAGTTGAAAACTATAGGTTATACATGGAAGTCATAAGCTAAAAAAAGTTATTAATTAACAACTTCTAGGGGTCTAATGAGAAAGAACTTCGTAACTAAGAGACTCGAACTCGAGACATCTGATTAAGGATGAAGGAATACTTACGACTCTAACACAACCCTTGTTGGTCTAATGAGAAAGATCTGCACTAACAATTATTGGATCGATCCTCACATTTGATAAACAGAAGATACTGCTATGTTTGATAAACGAAAAAATACTGCTATTTTTAATAAATATGAGTGTAATTATGTATATATAGAAAAAAAAATCCAAAATTCATTGTTATGTTAACTACTGTATAGCTAATGAATATAATAAAATCTCAAAATTTCATTGTCACGTTTTACCATCTACATATTCATTACGTATGATTGTATGAGGAGTAGAATCACATCAACATAACCAATTTAAGAATGATTTAAGTTATATATAAGTATTGATATTGTAATTTCATATATTATAGTTAATTTATAATAGTAGGTTGGTTATTTTTTCTTTGATAAGATTATCAATTAATATTTTTATTTTATAGTTATTTAAATTGTTATATATTTTTTACCTCGTTGATGTATGTAACTTAAATTCTTTAAGGAAATAGAAAATAAATTGTCACTGGTAATAGATCATTATTTGAGACCACTTTGAATAATGAAACCTAGTACTAATACAGAAAATTAAATGATGCTTACGTAGAAAAAGAGTTACTGTATAAAATAAATAAATAAATAAATATGGAGTAATTTTTAAAAAATTTGATGTTGGAATATATTCATAGAGTGTGAAAGTGGAAGTTTCCTTGTAAATTATTGACAGGATAATGATATCAAATATTTCAAAAGCAGTCCATATCGATTGTGATGAACTGATTAAGATTTGTTAATTTTTAATTAAAAATCTTCAATTAATTTTTAAGAATAACGATAAAAAAATGTTCAGAACTACCGTATAAATAATGTGCCCATACAATATATAAATCTAAATTAATCAAATTCAAATACAAATATTATATTTCAAATGAAAAATAAATAAAAATATCAAAGGCAGACAAAGTGTATATAATAGCCAGCGTGACGTAGAATAATAATTCATAGTGACCCCAGGACCTTATTATAAGGAGAAAATAATTGAAACTTTGAAAGTCGTTAAGGCCCAATGCAAAGGCAAACAAAATCAATCAACTCAACTTTTTTTTTTCTTCCAGTAATATTTTTGATCTCTCAACTATTAAAATTTGAAGATTTTAGTTTTTGAGATATCCAACTAATAATATAAGTAATGTAATTTTTTATTAATTGAAATATATATTTTTAAATCATTCTTTATTGATGTTGTATTAAGCTTATATTATTATTAGTATTGTTTCACACTCGATATAATATAACTCTATGATATCTCAAATATAGTATATTTCCTACCCAAAGAAAAGAAAAAACATATTTCTATTAATTAGGAATTAGATATACTTTGTCGGAATTGAAAAGTTCAGTTTGGTAATTTTGATTTTCAAAAATGCTTTACTATTATCATATCGAAATTCATTTGGTACGATTCGATAGATTTAAGTTCCATTATGATATTTTGTGTTACAATAATTTAATAATAAAAAATTATTCAACTTCGACTTACATATAATCACATACTAACATCTTAAACATCTAAAAATATATTCAAACCAAAGTAGACACAATATCATCAATTAATTACAAAAGAAAAATTCATTCTAATAAAAATTTCAATATCTAAATAATTGTGTTTGTACTAGTCCTAGTTTATACAATATTCAATATTTTTTTAATAAAAAAACCAAATATTATACCAAAATACCAAGAAATTTTTAAATACATACCAAAATCAAAATCTCAATATAATAATTTAATATCTATCGAATCATATCTACCCATAACAAAAGGTATACAATAATTAAGGAAGCAAAAATATAATATTTATTTTTACCTAATCAATTCAAGTGTAGATGATATCTTCAATTAATTACAAAAAGAAAAATACATTCTAATCAAAATTTCAATATCTAAATAATTGTGTTTGTACTAGTCCTAGTTTATACAATATTCAATATTTTTTTAATAAAAAAACCAAATATTATATCAAAATACCAAAGAAATTTTTAAATACATACCAAATATCAAAATATTAAAATCTCAATATAATAATAATTCAATATCTATTGAATCATATCTACCCATAACAAAAGGTACACAATAATTAAGGAAGCAAAAATATACTAATATTTATTTTTACCTAATCAATTCAAGTGTAGATGATATCTTCAAAGGCAACATAGTAAAATCAGCCTTAAAATCCTCTTTTGCCCTAAATAATCTTTCTATTCTCCCAAATCTCCCTCCACAAATTTTTTCCTTAAACCATCAAAAAGGCAAAACATAAAACCCAGAAACAAAAAAATCACTCTCTCTCTCTCTCTCTCTCATCATTCATCATGTCTTTTCTTCAAAACAATTTTACACTAATTTTACACTTGCTCTTCTTCTTCCTCCTCTGTTTTTTACAGTGTAAATTTGCTACTTCTTCTATGTCTATTCATGATTTACTAAAATCAAAAGGATTACCAGCAGGACTTCTTCCTAAAGAAGTGAAATCTTACAATTTATCAGATTCTGGTCTTCTTGAAGTGTTTTTAGATGGGCCTTGTTTGGCTAAATTTGATACTATGGCTTTATATGACAGTGTTGTAAGAGCAAATCTGACTTATGGTTCACTTGGTGGTGTTGAAGGATTTTCTCAACAAGAGCTTTTTGTTTGGCTACCAGTTAAAGGAATTGTGGTTGATAATCCTTTATCTGGTCTTATACTTTTTGATATTGGTTTGGCTCATAAACAACTCTCTCTTTCACTTTTTGAAGATCCACCTAATTGCAAACCAGATGGTAATTTTATTCCTCTGTTTTTTTTTTTTCATATTCGAAATTTACTAGTCTGACTAATTTGTAATTGATGTTTGGTATTCGTATTGGGATCTCATTAATGTTTTAGAATTCCAACATTAGGAGCTAAAATTGCTTTCTAGTATAGTCGAGTTTGAACTCGAGATCTCTGGTTTAAGTATACTCTACCCATATCCCTGTTAAACAATCAATTGTCAATTTTTATAAAAAAATAATTTTTTTCATAGTTTTTTGTTTTGCTATTTTTGGGTTGGAAATATATGGAATTTCACTAATATCGAGGGAACAAATGTTATTTTTTAGTTGAATTGTACTAGTTTTCCATATGATTTTCTGAATTGTTTTCTGGAAATGAATTGATTTAGTAACATTTTTCTGAAATTAGTACTAGTGTCAAGTAGTTTTCATTATTTTTATTTGAATAAATAAATTAGATTTAATTGTTTAAATTTAAGAATTGATTATTTTTTTTCGTGGAATATGCAGGCGTTTTGAGGAAGAATGGTAGGAAGGAGAAGGGATTTGAAGATCAATAATAAAGAAATGCCCTTTTTGGAAAATTATTAAATGTCCATAATAATTATGGATTTTGTTGGTTGGGTGGGTGGGTGGGGGTTAAGTACAAATTACCAGGCTTGATTATAGGTTTATTTTAGACTCTAAATGAGATTTGGGGGTGCGGCTGTAAAGATTTTGGGTTTATCAAATACTATCTTTTTTCCTATTTTTGGATCTAGTTTTATAAATTTGTTATTTATTTACTTCTCTTACGAGTCGAAAAATAGTTTCTCTATTCTCTAAGAGTCTTTATTTTTACGATTAACATATCGTAGTATAACTTATAAGAGCTTTTTATACCATATCATAAAGAGTTTTAGTGTGTACTCACACACATTTTCTCCGGCAGTGGAGATCGAAAAATAAAACACTAATGAAAATCATATACCTTATATAATGTATCAAGCTAACACTCCATTTTTCGACATTATATCCTATACTGGAGTTTTTAAAGTTTCATAAGTAATATTTCAGGATGTCGACTATTTTTCAATTATAGAAACCGGAAATTGACTATTTGTGTATTTTTCACTTTTTTCATGGCCTGCAAATATCATAGGATGCTTTTTCGTAACGTGCGTAAGATGGGCCCATGCAAAAAGGAGACGGGAGTACAACGGGCCCATGTGGAATTTGGAGTGTGGCCCACTTTTATGGGTTTTCTGCTGGACTTATTATAAGTGGGCCCTTAAGGCTGGTCTTGCTGGAACCCAATTGTATGATTGAAAAGCCCATCATCACAAGAAAAAGGCAAATAACCTTTTAAGTAGAATTTAAAATTTAGTAAAAAAATTAATTGGAAACAACCAGAATATCAACATTGATTAGAAAAAAATAATGAAAGTTAGTGATTGGTACATAATTTTTTTAAGAGAAAATGAATATACTTTTTGGTATAACTTAGGTTGATATAAAATGGATTTTGGGGTCTACTTTAACCTAAAAATTAAATTAAGACATAGGAATTAATGCAAACATCAGCTAAAAATATAATTAGTTCCATCACCAACTAAGATGGGATCGAACATTTGATGAATAAGAATTGAGGTGCACCTAACTCAAATGTCATAAAAAGATAAGAATATATAGATTTAATTTAGTTTCAAAAACCAGTTAGAATAGTTCAAAAGTCACCGATGGGTGTAGGAGACTTGACATAAGTAGAAAGTAGGAGGACTTATAGACAATATGATAAGTTTTACTCGATTATAACAGTTAAACTTAATTTTACAAAAATTAAAAAATTGAGGTGTTCTATATGATCAATCTTTTGTCATGATTTTACTTTGTAGAACTTCCATTTTAATAGTCATTTTGATTTAAGCAAAATCTTTTGCATGCTTTGACCAAAAAATGGTTAACTTTGTAGATTATTATTACCTTTCTAAAAATAATACTATAAACTTACGTTTATATTAAAGTGAAAATTATTGTCAAAGTTTGGAAAAATTGACTGCAAATTAGGAGTTCAATTCTTTTTAAAAAATATATTCAGTCATATATACATATTTAAAGTTTAGCCTTGTCAAGCCCAAATATATCAAAGTTTGTTTTTAAAGTTTAGACATGATTTTTATAATTTTGATCGCATATGATAGAAGTTTAGTTTCGAAGTAGCTAGATTTGTAAGTTTTATATAAACTTGCTACAACTTAAATGTTGGTTCTAAATGGGCACAAGGTAAAGCCCGCTAGGCCCTTCATCAAAATTTCAGGAAATTTAGAGGAGATAATTAGTCAAGATTCGCTTAATTAAACACAAAAATTAGCTTTTTAGGAATATAAATCATTTCTAATTATACTTATAACTCTCATAATCTTCTATTCGGTGAATCCAAATCACTTTTAGGCTTCATTAATTTTATTAAAATTAAGACGTCTGAAAATGAATACATTAATGATTCTTGGATCTGAATACACCATTTATATTTTCCTAAACATCTAATATGTACATAATTCATTCAAATAAAATAATAGTCTAATTAAATACTCCATCAACATTATCCTAAAAATATCTTGCTAACTAAGCAAGTAACACTTGATCGCCACGTGTCCCATCGTCAGAGTCCTTGTTTAGCCCAAAACTTATACGCAATCGATCTCTTCGTTGCTGAAGGGTTGCCTCATTCGTCGAATTCGAATAGACAATTACGAAAATTATGGGTGGCGGTGGAGCATTCAGAGCAGCGGCGAAGGTCGCCGGAGCCGCCGCTGCCAACAGCGGATTCCGCTCGGTGACGGCGGAGCATCCAGTCTACGCAGCCGCACGCAACGTCGCCCGTCCGGTGTCGATCTCAGGTATATCGTCAACATCGGGAGATGTCAAGTCTGCTATGGTCACGGCTTCTCACGGTGGATCATCGGATGTGTCGTATGTGCCTAAGATGGTTTCTGATTTTGATGACTGGGAGATGGCCGGCGGAGAGGAAGAAATGATGGTTAATCCTGGTGAACCGCTGCCACGACTCGTATTTGGTGGAGCTCCTTCTCTTCAGGAAGCTACAGAGGCTACTTCTGATCTCAAAGATGCTCTGTATAATTCATTTCTCCTGCTATTTACTCTGCTATTGTTTTTTACTCTGCCTGCAAATTTGCTTATCAATTTGTTATCTGTTGTTAGTGTCTATGCGAAGTATTGCTTTTTGTTTGTGTTTATAATCATTAAATTGCAAGTCTTTTGTGTTCTAAGTCACCATAGAGCATTAGCCTCTCCAGTCTGAAAGCTAATTTTGGTGGTATGGTTTTGCTTTTTTTTATTGTGAAACTTAACGGTGATTGAGTGATTACTCAGTTGATTGATTCGATTAACGAATAAAGTTACAATTTGTTGCTCTTTAGAATAAAACGGGACACGTAGTAGAAAAATTGCAATGTCCAATTCTATGTTGCCTTATTTTCATGTAGCTTTGAATTATCCCAATATGAACTTTACTTTTGAAAAGGAGATATAACTCTTAAAACTGATTGTAAAGAAGCACCTTGGGATAGCATTTACTGTACATACATACTATTCCCTCAGTTCCGATTTATGTGGCATTGTTGGTCTTGATATAGAGTTTAAGAATTAAGGGAAGACACTTCTATTTAGCAAATTGCCCTTATAAAATTCACTTTTGGTACTTACTTTTAGTTGACTTTTCTTCATTATAAAGTGTTAAGTGGAACTCAATAAGTATGAAATGAGGATGATGCCATTACATAGTTGCTACATAAGGAAGGGTGACATTCTTTTTGGGAGGGTCTAAAAGGAGAGGGTGCCACATAAATGGGGAGTATTAGGCAAGGGAGATCAAGCAAGTCATTTGTGCTATTAAGGCCTTTTGGATTAATTAAAAAAATCCGCCTTTCTAACTTATTCCATGTCATAAGCTATGCATGCTCATAAGTACTATGGTTGGGTGACACTACCAGAGTCCAAGTGCGCTCTTCTGTGTGACAGTGTCAGTGAAGGGAGAAACTTAAGTTCTGGACCTGAAATAGGTGAAGGGAAAAATGAAAATGAACTTGTCAATTCGATTGTTGTTCCACTCTTTTAATATTGGTATGCTTAGGCATTTCATCATACTTCCATCAACCTTTAGCTTAAGCACCCAGAAGGTTAATGATCTGGGATTTGAAAGGCTATTGGACTTAGGTTGCCATATGAACTTCTCAGTGTCACTCTGCTGTTATATTCCAACAGATATATTTGCTCTAATAGAAGATGTAAACAACTACTTACATAGTGTGAATTCAAAACTGTTGTTAAATTTACAGGGTATATATGTCTGGATCTGCTAATGGATATGGGGGATCTTGTATATCCGGCTCATGCTCATCGCCCGTCTCCAAAGCCTGTGTTGTCAGCGAGACTATAGTCACAAAGTCTGTGCCGAAACATGCTGTTCAGGCATATAGGATTCTGAGTGAAATTCCTGCTGCTCAGGTTTTCTTCTTTGTCATTTTTGTCTACAAGTCTCTTAGTTTTCATATTCTATCTAGTGTTGTATGTTCATGTCATAGAAACTGGATATTGCAATTTTTTATTTTAATCCTTCAGTATAAGCCGTTACTAGGGTGAGGAATGATTCTGAATGTGTTCAATTTGACCAGATAAGAAGATCCAGTCAACAAAAGCTGAACTAATATTGTAGTTATAACATAAAAAGTGGAACTATTTAAGGTAGCCCCTAATTCTACTTGTGAAATCTCCTCAAACAGGATCTGTTTTCTTGCTAGTGACAAGAAAATTTAGAGCTCTTCATACTTGAGAGTGTTCAGCTCATTTGATTTTTCTTTAGGTACTCCTCTCTAGATGTTGACATCTAGAAGAGCTATATTTGAGTTGAGTCCAATACTGAAGATACTTCCTTAAAATTTCTGAAGAAGCAGAAAGATCTCAACGTCAAGATAACTCGACTCTTAGAATGTTTAAGTATTAGATAACGTCCCCTCCCCTTGTGGTTCTCATGCTAGGTATTTCTTAAACTTTTTTTAAAAAAAAAATTCTGGTGTCAAAATGTAGTTCGTTGATTTATTCAATTTCGTTGGTTGGAGGAAGGCTAGTGTTATTAGCTTTCTTTATTCACATTTTAGTGCGAAGCATGAGCATAAAGTGACTTAGATGGGTTCAGGCTCTATAGATCTAAAAGTGGTATTTCTTATGCATTTTCTTGGTGTTAATTGTTGGCATCTGAGTAGACAGTAGACACTCATAATAACTTCATGAAGCTCTTTGGAGTGCCGTCTTAGTAGTGTCTGGAGGTTATGAGTATTCTAGGTCTGCTAATATTGACTTCATTTTTCTCCTTCCCAGAACGTTGTTGCTTCAATTGCTTGTGACCCAAATGTGTGGAATGCAGTACTGCAAAATCCAGCCCTTCAAGATTTCCTCGAGTCACAGAGATCCAGTGAGAAATGTATGTCCTTGATTTTCCTCGAATCTCTCATAATGATCAAGCTTCTTACTACATTCTCATAGTTGCAGGTGCATCATTCCCCGACTTGGATCAAGAGAAAGATGAATCGGTTGCTGATACTGCTTCCTTTTCTGAATCATCCCCATGG